CTTGCATTCATGTCAATTATAAAGGAAAATACAATTTAGCAAGCTACTGGGATTTTTTACACTCTCCTCCAAACTGCTACCTTTGTAAAAGCACCATCATTCTGTAAACCACAGCTTTAGCTATAGGAAAAAAGAATAAAGGAGAAAATAAGTAAAAAATTCCCACTAGAACAGTTGCCCTTTATAACAGTTTAATCATCTTTCCCTTTTTTGATGAAAAATCTGTCTAAAGAGGACTAAATGTCAAAATTAGATCAAAAAGTGCAGAAAATATAATAATTCTCTAAATGTGTGCATTTTTATTTAACTTGGCTGTTGTATCTTTTTTTTTTTACTACTTTTTACGTTTTCTTCTTGACTTTCAGAGGACATTTAGGAGATAAATGTATTATGAAAGGCTGGAAAGATTTCCTACACCTAAAAAAACATCACTTATATTAGAAAGTAGTATCATTGGAATAACCATGGATCTCGGTGTCATATTTACTTTGATATTAGTACAATAACCCCTAATTTTTTCATACCCCGCACAACATTAGGTAATCTTGTAATGTTACCAACAAGCTTTCTGTGACTTGCATTAATATTGTGGTTTTAGAACTGCTTTTGAATCTCATAGGGCATCTGTGGAAGGAACTAGAGCTCACTGTGAAGGCAAAAAGGCCTTCCAATCAATAAGATCTAAAGCTCATTAGAATAGAATAAATCATCAAAAAAACAGAAGAAACATGCAAATCGATGGTCAGCAAATTATTAGAAGGGTCTAGAAGAAGTGATTTATAAAATAAAATATACACATATATATACATATATAAAATGTACACAAACTGCACATATTTTTTGTAACTAACACTCGTTATCCTGGAGTATAACCTTTTGAAAGATACCGCTTCATTTTTTATCAAAAATAAAAAAAATTGATTGAATAAAAATGGTTTTGAATCTAAATCACTATGAATACCATTGGGATAAAAGCTCTTAAAGAAAAAGACACTACAGCAATAAGCCCAAAGAACAAATATACTAAGACTTTGATAGATTCGTGCAATTTTGTCAACAACTGATACTTAAGAAAGTATGCTTAATAATGGACTGGTGTCGGAACAGAAGAAAAATTATTTTCCTTTTACCACTCAAAAAGCTTTGCTCTCTTACTCCAAATAAGATCAGATGGTTGGAACGTGAGGCAATTCCAAACTGTATGTGTTCTTTACAATAAAGTCTTGGGTGGAGAAAATTATCCAGTGATCATTATAGAATCGCTTCAGTGGAAAAAAAACCTTAATAAAGGTTTTATAGGGTTACTTTGCAGCAATAGCAACATAATGGGTTTGTATAATGGTATAATCTCAAAAGCTATGCTTTGCACAAGTGCATATAAAATCTCTAGGGATAGCTTTTATAGGACATTTCTAAATGATGGTTGATATAGTCTGAAAAAAAAATCAGAGAGCAGAAAAGGAATTTAGAAAAACAATAGCATAGGTTGTTTTTCATTGATCAATAGTCACAACAAGAGTAGGTCAGAAGGATGTTTCCCTTCTATAGTGGAACCATTAGTCGGCACATTCCAGTGCATTACTGTGCACATGACTTACCAAAGAGCTGGCGGTGGAATATAAACTTCCCGGCTAACAGGCCGGTGATAATGGCCAGGATCCAGCACATTACTTTCAGGATGTTCCACCCCAGGCCCGGGTACTTGTTAAACAGGAAGGAGAAGCAGTTGCCCACCACCATCATGTGAGCTTCTGTCTGGCTGTGGGAGATGGGGTCTTCTGCGAAGATGAGGAAATTAAAGAAGGTGACGAGGTAGGCCACGATGAGACGCGACCACGGGTGCTGGAAGTAGTAGCGAAAACAGGCATCTATTTCCATCCTGCAGAAGCCCCTCAGTCACTCAAACACCTAGGGGAGCAACAGAGAGCGGAACGTGTTTCTCTCAGTCAGATACTATTACAATCACATCAGCATGACCAGATTACAGAGAAAACACCCCCAAGGTTCAGATTAGATAGCTGAACATCACTGATGGTCCGTGTGGATTGAAATAGCGCTCAGTTGAGATAAATCAGTTCAGTCGCACCATAAATAGTACATTATATGCAAAAAACAAACAAAAGCAGAGCAGCTTTCTCTTTACAGTCAGAAATATTAAAGAGAAATTGTGATCAGACACAAAAGTGACACCTTTTAGTAATCACTGAAAGGAGGACTCTACCTTTCTTAGATAAGGTGGAATCTGCAAAGCCTTACAAGCCCTCCAAGCTGTCAGTCGCAGGCTTTTAAAGGCTTATCCTTTGAGTCAGATGTTGTCAGATCTGTGCCTCCCCCCCCCCTCAAAAAAAAAAAAACTGTAGCAGCTTTATGCAGAAGCTTTGGAGGGAACACTTGCCAAACACACTCTGGGATGGATTCTCTCTTCTGATTTCAGCTTTTCCTCACTGCAGGAAACCCGTCTCCAAACTGCTTCTCTATAACAGCCTTACTGACCTGAATGTTCAGAAATGAGTTCCCTGCTTTGACATCTTTTCCTAAAATACCCCTCGCAGGAGAAATTTAGGATGATATCACAGCCCCGGAAATAGAGCTGCCACACTCTGAACACCCATGTGGATATTAAATTTCACCAGCACCAAGTGTGTCTTCTCATGAAACGTCGACTCTAAGTGAAACTAATTGCGGATGACTTCCCAAACAGGGCCTGCAATCGCTCACTTTAGATAATATCCAGATGTGTATCTTTTTTTTAATAAAAAATAGGCACTAACAACAAAAGATAAATGGGTAGATGCACGATTTCACAAAACCCTTTTCTATAAAAAGCAACTTTTACAAAGGGGCTGTAATTCTGCTTTGTGTGTATTTCAGTCAGTGATATCATAAGAGGAACTAAGAAAAATCTGATCTGCTAGTTCAACCATGTTTGAGCCAGGGACGGACCCTGGTGACCTTCAAATCATTATAGATACGGCCACAATTACAGGTGCTTGGCTCCAGGTACTCAGAGATTCACTTCCATACAGAAACCCCACATTCATATCTTCAGGTAACACAGAGTACATGTCAGACTTAATAATATTACTTTAGCGAGTTTCAAGGTATTGCTTTATTGTATGTCTCGTACCATGTCTTTCAGTTGTGCTGTTCTTTTTTGATCTCGTTGCAGGTGATGAAGCAGACTGAAAATGTTTTGTCATTATCTCCTTTCTATCTCTACTTTCTTTCATCTTTTCTCTTTTTCTTTCTTTTTTCCTTTTCTTCTTCTGTTTTTCTGCTCTATTTACATTGCAGTGTTCATATAAACTGTAAAACTCCCTGCATAATTATAATAAAGCAATTTATATGCATGAAACAAGTGGAGCAATATGGCAATTGCCATACTGCTCCACTTGTGAAAGTAAAATCTGTTGGGCTCTTTTTGGCACCAAGACAATTATTCTTATTGCCACGTTGCCAGACAGGACACTGTTAAAAAATAATAATAATAATAATAGATAAGGCCATCGTTGGCAAATCCCAAGCAAATGCTGACAATGATCACCATTTTTGAAACTGCTACTTTGGAGGTATATGTCAGAAAATTATTTAAAAAAAATGTTGTATATAAAAAAGTACAGGATTTTATTTCAATATGTAATAAAATAGACTTTGAATTGCACCAAGAGAGAGCGTGTTTACTTGTGTTAAAATAAGAAATTCTGGCATAATTTCAGTTGGAACTCCGAATCAGAATAAAATGCTTGATATCAAAGATATTTTTAGATACTGCCACTGATTATAAAACAGATTATCTGCCACATTCCTTATAGGTCACTCAAAGATTATGTTTGTCATGGTACATTAGTAGATATTTACAATCTTGAGGGATAATATTTTGCCTTTGGATAAAAATGCATTCTGCTTACAATGTTTATTTGATTAACTAAGCGCAGTTGAGAGATCCTAATCAACATTTTAGTGCCTATTTTAGACCTAAAGAAGGAAGCCAGAGTACCTGCAGACAAACCACACATGCATGTAAATGCATGCAGAAAGATACCAGGCTGGGATTTGAATCCAGGACCTTCTAGCTACAAAGAAATAGTGCTAGGTGTGTTAGTTGTTCAAACAATTCTTTTCATATAGGTAGTTGGGAATACTATTTTGTTGATTAACAAAAGTACTAATGGCCAGGTGAGTTGCACAACAGTTTGTTAAACTGCTACTTAAAAAGTTGCAGCAACATTTAAATATGAATGAAAAAAGAAGCCAAAAAAATGACAAAATACACAGTCTTAGTAAGTTGATGTAGAATAAGAAGCAAACTGTAGGAGGAAATGAAGAGTACTTTTAGTGGAAGTGGATCGCGCAGCTGTAGGCACGATCACTGATACAACAGTAGCATAAAGCATTTAAATGCAGGCTCACCAATAACAACAGAGTTTGTTTTTTAAATAAAATTTAAAAGAGGAAAAATGTACCATCGGTTGTTTGTTATGTGAAAATCTATACAGAGGATGATTTTGAGTTTAAATATACTTAGATCTAAAGTTGTATTTCTAATCTGAAGCAATGGTCTAAAGACATGCAAGAAAAAAGGTGGGCCCAGACAGGGTACCCAAATCTGACCATTTTTTAGAATGATTAAATATTAAAAATAAATAATGAAAACTGACAATCTCTGATAGGCTCCCCATGGAAATACAATCCTTGAACAAAAGACACTCATTAATAATCCCTTTTATTATGATCCTCAGGGTGAATGTTATCATAATAAATTAATTCCCCCAACTCATGTCTGACACTCTGCAGGTGATCCAGAAAATAAAGGCAAAATGAACCTTTGTTTTCCACCACCTCTGCTAAACTAATGTCACATCAGACACATTTCTATTCGGAAACGCAGGATGCCCAACCAAAATATCTGATTATACAACCGAAATGTCTCTTTATTGGGAGGTTAGATGTGAATTCGCTACATTTAAAAGCGCATTAAGACATCTGGTTCCTGAACGCACCTGCTCCTCCGTCTGCAGCCAGGACGAGCTGCCCGCATCAGGTCCACAGCGGCGCTCTGATCACCCAAAAACACCGGATGATACGGTGGCTTTGGTTTGAACGGGGATTCTCCATGTGACCTGTTGTCAGCCGACGGCAGAGTCTCCCCCAAAATCCTTAAGCCATTGTACCCCCCGGTCCGTGAACGCACCGGGCGCAGATCCCGCAGCACATCACTGCTTGATGGAGATCTTCAGCAGGCAGCAGCCTGACGGTGGCACCGCTGGAGCGTGGATGGAAGAGATCAGCTCCATACATTGGACTTAAAGGTACAGTGTGTAATAATTACAGGGATTTATTAACATAAATAAAATGTACTATCTATGTGTTTGTTATTTCATATTCACATATGAACTGGAAATCTCAATGTTTATGTTTGCTTTGCCTTAGAAATTGATATTTATAAATACAGGGGATTCACATTTGTGGAGGCAGATATCTTTTGCACTATGGCCAGGGGCGGAGCTAGATGGAGGGCCAGGGGTTATCACTACCCAGTCTATCCCTGAAGCACGATCCATTCTGGGAATGCGCAAACAAATATACATCCGGGTGTCCATAAATAATGTAATTATAGTACTAGAATTACTTATTTCTACCCTTAACTCTTCAAAGAATGCTAATACGCATCTTTAAAAAAAGTTTTATGACTTTGGCGAGACAATTTTGATGCTTTTTACATTTTCTTTGCTAAACTGCTTGTGTGACGTTATCATTGGACATGCTCAGAGCAGTCCGCCGAAATATGATTAAACCATGCTTATCTGCATTTTAGGTGTTTCTTTTCGATTGTGTAAAAACGAAAGGAATACATATTAAACTAAAAAAAACTAGATTTATGTTTAAATCCAAGGCCGTGTTTGTTATTTCATATTCACATATGAACTGAAATTCTCATTGTTTATGTTTGCTTTGCCTTAGAAATTGATATTTATAAATACATATAGAGAGGATTCACATTTGTGGAGGCAGATATCTTTTGCACTATGGCCAGGGGCGGAGCTAGATGGGGGGGCCAAGGGTTGTCACTACCCAATCTTTCCCAGAAGCACGATCCGTTCTGCGTATGCGCAAACAGATACATTCGGGTGTCCATAAATAATTGTAATTATGGTTCTGGAATTACTTATTTCTACCCTTAACTCTTCAAAGAATGCTAATACGCATCTTTAAAAAAATTTTTTATGAGTTTTGTGAGACAATTTTGATGCTTATCACATGTTCTTTGTTAAACTGCTCGTGTGACATCATCAGACATGCTCAGAGCAGTCAGCGGAAATATGATTAAACTATGTTTATCAGCATTTTAGTTGTTTCTTTATTTAGATTAGGCACTATATACCATAATGTTAACACGAAAGGAAAACATATAAAACTCAAAAAGACTAGATTTATGTTTAAAAGCCAAAGCCGAAAAAGTTAGCTCCTGGAAGTAGCGTAGGATCCCATTTGCGGTGCAGATCGGGCAGAGACGAGTGATAAAACAGAAAGCATTTTAAGGCATTTATTTTCTCAGGAAATACATTATTAACCTTTAACACGTTATATTTTTTGCAGTGTTGGGAAAGTTCTCTTTCTACGTGAACTAGTTCAAAGTTCAGTTCACACATTTTAAAATGAACTAGTTCAGTTCATAGTTCATAATTCAGAATTTTGAACTAAGTTCACAGTTCCAAAAAATGAACTAGTTCATAGTTCATATTGCTCAATTACACCATAGCCTACTGTAGAACCACAGACAGCAATTATTTTATCAGTTGTAACACTGAAACTGTGCGTCAGATTTCATCTTCATATCCAGTTTTGAATCCTTATCCAACCAGGGTTTACATTAGCATTGAGGGGACAGCATTTCCCCATTGTTGCTTTAATGCTTTGTTGCTGTCCATTCACTTCACACTAATAGCAGCTGCATCTTTCACCCCCACAGTATATTCTCAAAAACATCAGGAAAAATGTGCTGCTTTGTTGCCTCCACGGTCGCCTCCATGCTGCTGTGGCTTCCACACTGCATTTTGTTTTGATGACGCACGCGGCTGTAGGCTACGACACTGGTAGCTGGTGTTGCCAGATGCGCAGAACGGATCGTGCTTCCTGGATGGATCAGGTGGGGACAGAGGTGGCCATGGCCACTGTTAGCCAAGCAATGGCCACCCCTGTGGCCACCCCTACCATTTTATCCCTTCTAATACAGATGTTGGGAGCAGTAATACAGTAATACAAGTAGTTGCATTTGACTCTCTCACAGGGGTTAGATAAACCAACTTTTTATACAATAAATATATTTCTGTAAATAGTGAGAAACAATTTAAAGTTGATTTTTAAAAAAAGGTACAGTGTTCACATTTTTTCCTGCATACCACGAGCAATATGTTGCAACTGACCTCTAGGAGGAGACAGTTGCAAAATTATTTTGTATTTATTTATTTTTTATTTTACCTTTATTTTACCAGGAATTCCCTTGAGATAAAATCTTTTTCGAGGGAGACATATTTAGGGATGGTTGCAACATATTACAAATATGATTTATTTCAAAACTATTATTAATATCTGCTGCATTCCTATTTTATTTTAAAATGTGTTGAAATGCAATTGCAGTGTTATTAATCAGCTTTGATCAGATGACAGTTTTATATTTGTCTATAAGATTAGGCCTATATGCAGATGTTACAACTAAATAATTGGATCTAACAATATAAATATATCATTGACCTTTTTGCTTAGATAAATTATATGTATTTTAGACTACTCAGTAGTACATAAACAAAGTTATAAACAGGCATTGGGTGAGTATGCATACACATTAACCTATTCTGTCTTTAACCTGATAAAATGTATTCTGCTGAAGTAAACACCTAATGAAAAATAAAGATATTTAAAAAATATTTGTAATAAATATGTGGTCTTCTGTTTTAATATGAGGCAGTTGTTGCAAATGCCCCCCTTCCTGATAAAACCTGATGTTCTTGCTCAACAAAGTTATAATGATACATTCTAATCACATTTACTAAAGATAAGTTTACCATTGACTTAAACCATACAGGATTGAGCTTAATCCCATCAGACCGACTGGGCTAGTTTTGTTTTGACAAAAACAAAACTCAACCAAAATACTTTCATGTCCTATAACTGTTTCTTTTTTCTTTTTCTTTTTTTTTCGATAAATACCAGAGCAACACTAGAAAATGTTTAGTTTTTTTTCTGAAAGGACCTGCTTCCAATTTTCTTAATAGTTAATGATTGGAGAAAAATTACATGTTGTAACTTCCAACCATCCCCTGCTGCAACTGTTCCCAGTATCCTTGTATTAAATTTATAGATTTCCATTACATTTCATAATATCCCTGCATTTTTTTATTTACAGCAACATTCTACATATGTGAGCTATTCATTAAGTTACAATGTTGCTATTATATAGCAAAATAGTGTTATATTCTAGAAATTAAACAGCAAAATCATTAAAGCCGTGCATGCTATGAATTTTAGTAGATAAAACCATTCTTACTAATAAAAGTAATATAGATCAGAACAACTTACATATTCAAGATGCTTTGCAGTTTGGAAGGTGATTCACTGTTTCTGCAACAACTCTTATTAAGTTTGATTGTTCTGCTTAGCACAGAGCTGGGATTCCTCCTGGGGATTGGATATATTTGCTGTCATATAATGTATTTATTTAATGAAAAGGATTCAGGAAAAGATGAGAAAGAATCCCGATGGTGTCCAGATGTTGGAGGATTTCAGGCCAAACAGGATCAGCTGTCAGAGAGCCAGCATGTCTGAGATCTCTGAGTCTGAGTCACTTCTGCAAAAATAAATTGAGGATGTAAATCAACCAGGATGATTTTAAAAATAACAATACACATTTTAGAGGATTTGTTGCTGTTTTTTGTTTTGGAAGAATGTAAAAATATTAATTTGGTTTTCATACCAAATTAATATTTTTACATACTTTCAGAATTTTGACATTCTTCATGGATTTTTACATTCTTCCTTAATTTTTACATTCTTCATATTTTTACATTCTTTCTGAATTTTAACATTCTTTATAATTTTACATTCTTCATATATTTACATTCCTTTTAAATTTTTACATTATTTCCTGAATTTTTACATTTTTCATATTTTTACATTCTTTCTGAATTTCTTAATTTTCCCGGAATATTTAAATTCTATATATTTTTACATGCTTTCTGAAATTTTACATTTTCCTGGATTTTTACATTCTTCATATTTTTACTTTCTTTCTGAATTTTTAAATTCTTTATATTTTTACATTCGTCCTGAATTTTTTACATTCGTCCTGAATTTTTGCATTATTCCTATTTTTACATTATTCCTATTTTTACATTCTTTCTAAATTTTTACATTCTTCCTGAATTTTTACATTCTTTCGCAATTTTTACATTCTTCCTATTTTTACATTCTTCATATCTTTACATTCCTTTTAAATTTTTACATTATTTCCTGAATTTTTACATTTTTCATATTTTTACATTCTTTCTGAATTTCTTAATTTTCCCGGAATATTTAAATTCTATATATTTTTACATGCTTTCTGAAATTTTACATTTTCCTGGATTTTTACATTCTTCATATTTTTACTTTCTTTCTGAATTTTTAAATTCTTTATATTTTTACATTCGTCCTGAATTTTTTACATTCGTCCTGAATTTTTGCATTATTCCTATTTTTACATTATTCCTATTTTTACATTCTTTCTAAATTTTTACATTCTTCCTGAATTTTTACATTCTTTCGCAATTTTTACATTCTTCCTATTTTTACATTCTTCATATCTTTACATTCTTGCTGAATTTTTTCAGTCTTCATATCTCTTCCTTCTTTCTGTAAGGAAATGCATTCATAAATGTGACCCCCCAGTCTCGGGGTTGGGCCCCTCCCTCTGTAGTTCACTTCCTGCTTCTTCTCTTCGCTCTCGCCTGGTCAGCTGCTTCAGCCCTCTGTCCGACGATAGACACAATGTCACATCAAACAGGCATTCTAGGTAAGGATCGTTTTTGTTTTTCCTGCAAGTGTTTTGTCCGTCCCGCTGTGTGAATTTCAGATAAAGCTTTAGGCGCCTGCTTCAGTTTGTTGCAGCCATAAGCTAGCAAGTTAGCTAATCTCTCCGTGCTAGCTAGCTAGCTTCTGGCTTCAGTGATTTTTGTGACCAGTTGAGCCGCTGTGCACTTTTTGAGGACTTCACTTCGAGTTTTTTGTCACTCTATCAGCCATCAGAAAACCC